TTGAACAACCAACAATAAAAAAAAATAAAAAAAAATAAATAAAATATAAAAAAGTGTTGGGGATGTAAAAAAAAATAAAATTTGGGTCAATTGATTCTATAACATCAAGCTATATTCTTCATTTAAACTGTGTCTTTGTCATATATCCATGAGATATCTGCAAAGAAACACTCATATTACATTCTAAAATGAGCTACAATTAATTGGATCCCCCAAAACTTTCTAAGAGGAGGCATGATGTGCTCTGCTAATTCCATCCACCACCCTCTATCTCATATCCTCTACTTCCTCAGTCTTTACAAACAAGACTAGGAAAGAATGTGAGACAGAATCATGGGGTTGGCAAAATGGCTGTGACCTGGTGAAACTTTACTTTTTGTTTTCTGTGAAAAGGACAATTAGGTACCTTGAGTAGCTGGTCTTGCAAATACCTTAGCCAGGAGATTTGATCAGGAAAACTAACAGTAAGACAGGAAAAGATCTGAAGACAGACCTCCAATTGATGGTCCTATGCAGTGGGGTGGCTTCTCCAAGTGGCTATGCTTTATATCACAAAAAATTCATATTTGAAATTCATAAGATAGCCAACATGTAGGTACCAGCAACATGAAGGGAGTCAGCAGCCAGTGTTAATTTGAGGAGCAACACAGTCTACCAAGAGAGGGCCCTAACAGAAAATAGTTTCTCTGATTTCCCCACTCAACTTCCACCATTGAGGAGCTGGTCCTTGAGAAGAGAAAGACATTTTTTTGTCCTGTAGTATCTCATTGTCTTAGTCAGGTTTCTGTCACTGTGATGATACTTTTGAGGGGGGACTTTAAAAGGAAAGATTTATTTTGGCTCATGATTTCAGAGGTTTCAGTCCATGGGTGCCTGGCCCCATTGCTTTGGACTTGGGGTGGCACAGTATATCATGACAGGAGCACATGGTAGAGAGGATCCTTGTAGTCAGGAAGCAAAGAGAGAGGAATAGGCAAGAAAAAATTATCTTCAAAGGCATGTCTCCAGTGACCTAACTTCCTTCCCCTAGGTCTGACCTTCTAATAGTGCCATAGGCAGAGGACAAAAAATTTAGTATGAGCATTTGGGGGGCATTTAAAATGTAAACTGTAACATTTATGATGTTCAAATAGGAGGTGGTGAAGGAAAATTTAGCAGATTTAACTCCCACCCCCACTCTGCAGTCATTGGGTTGAATCTGACTTGTAGAGAAAGGAGGGGATAAAAATTAAATGGCATAAAGTTGGAGTTTCAAACTGGACTTTAGCAAGTGAAAGAATATATAGGTTCTGCGTTAGATGGTGTCAGTGTACAGGAAAGAAGAATATAATAGTTCCTTACTAAAGGCAATGGAGGAGAAAAATAGACTCATTTCAAATTTCTGTCTTTCACTGAGTTGAAATTTCTCAATAAGTGCACAGGTGGATGTACAGAAGGGTGGACTGTTAGATATAGAAAATGAAGCAAAGGAAAACTGAGGATGGCTTTCAGCTTCCTGTCCTAGATTATGGTTCTACTGGCAAATTCATACTGGGATGGGTGGAATAGTGTGATAATAGATAGCAAAAGTGAATTTAGGTCCCTTGAAGAAGATTGCCTCTTGGTCATCATGGAATCCTTTGAGCCTTGTCAACTATTTGTTTTTACTGGTGTCTTGAGGTGAGGAAGGTGGTATTTTAGGTTGCTGTGACAAAAATACCTGGCAAGAATTATTGAGAGAAGGAAAAGTTTATCTTGATCTCATGGTCTCAGAAGTTCAGTTCATGGTTGGTTGACTCTGAGTTGATACACAGCATCATGTTGGAAGGGCATGGAGAAAGAAAGCTACTCTTCTCTAAGTGGCCATGGAGCAGAGAGAAGGAGAAGGGGACACAGGGAAGATAAACCATTCCAGGGCATGCTCTAAGTTTCCCACCTCTTCCAGCCATGCCCCACCTGCCTACAGTTACAACCCAGTGAGTCCTTTCCAACTAACATGGACTGATTAAGTTACAGCTTTCACATTTCAATCATTAACAGTTTTGCATGTTAACACAGGAGCTTTTGGGGGGTACCTCATATCTAAACCACAACAAGTGGACAAATGGGTAGGGATTTTATGGCTTCATGAATGATAAAAAAGCATATTTTCTTGTTCTTTGCACCTTGGAATATCAAGACCAAGCACAAGGGAAAAACCCTTCAAACTTGGAGAAAGAATAAGGAAAGAACAAAAAATTATTCATTGGATCAATATATCTCATGCTTCTACCAGTTAAAGACTTTGTGTGGGTTAAGAAGTTATTCTTGTTTCTTTTTGTCATTCCTTGGCTTTTGTTTCTGTTGGCATAGGAAATTGTAAGCCTCAGCTGCCCTGAGTTTATTCCATTCTCTCTAGTTCTGGTCGGGTCATTTTCTTACAATTCTCCCCAGTGACCTGACTTTTCATCAGGGAGAACAAAGAAAAGAAAGGAGATAGGAACAAGAGGCTATGCTTCCAAAGCTACTACTGAGGAAAAAAGCCACGTTTGTGTGATTTTCCTCACCAGGGTCCCCTCACCTACTAACTCTCCTTTTTTGCTATTAATATCTTATACAATATCACAAGGGTCTCCATATGTCTTTGTTATTAGAAGAACACTTCTCAAACAGAACTTTCAGGGCATGGCTATAAAAGAATATGGAAAGCATGCATGTTCTCAATTTCAGTCCATTTAAAACACCACCATCACTTTATCAAACATTTGGAAATTGTACAATAATCAAAACTTCATTATGAGAGAAATTCTCTATATATATTATTTGGGGTTTTGGTCTTCATTAGGCTTAACCAAAGAAAATACAATATAATTAGATTATTCTCTAAGTGTTGGCATTTTTTTTTCTAGAGGTCCTGATAGTATTTTATATTTTGTAGGGCACAGAGTCTCTTCTCAATTCTGCTATTATAGGGAGAAAGCATCCTTAGATGATATGTAAATGAATGGGTGAAACTATATTTATGAATTCTGAAACTTGAACTTCAAATGATTTATGTGTCACAAAATATCATTCTTATATTTTTTCTTACTTTTAAAAATGGTAAAAGCTGTTCTTGGCTCACAGGCTTTGAAAAAACTTGTGGCAGGCTGGATTTGGACTTGAGCTACTTGCCATCCCCTCTTTTAATTGGTTCATTTATTCCATTACATATAAAGTCCTATAGGGAATGCTTTGTTTTCAGAGATGCCATTTTCTTTCACAATGTGTTAAACCAGAAGGAAAAGAAAAATTCTTGAAGAAAAAAAAAAGAAAACATCTTTCTAAGTGCCCCAGGTAAGATTGCTAGGAAATGATCACACTTTTAGATAGCTTTTCTGCATCCTGTCCTGCAGCAGGCAATTCAGTCACAGCAAACCCAAACTCAGATATATTATTTCTTCTATCATTCTCCTAGCACAGAAATCAATAGGACTGATCACAGAGGTGTGTGCCTAGGGAAAAACAAAATGTGACTTCTGCCATTAGGCCCAAACATGGCACTTCAGGATGCAAGCCAACAAAAGGCTCAGAGCCTGCCTGGATGAGGAGTGTCCCTGCTGACACCCACATACCTCTCAAGATGGAAGTGACCCTAAATAGTCACACTACAACTCCTTCCCAAAGGCTCTCAAATCCAAAATCTTTTCCTGTTCTTGTATTTCCAGTCTTCAGAAATTGGAACGATTCCCAAGTCTTATTCCTGATGCAAGGTGAATATAACTTAAGTCCCAGTGCTTTTTCCTATGTGATAGCATCCTTTGGAGATCTGGATACCCTTTGAGTATAGGCACAAACTTTCAAGCCAACTGAGAAGGTTCCATTATATCAGGTCCTGACTAGAGTGACTATCTTACTCCCTTTGGGTTGCTTATAAAAAGTACCCTAGACTGGGTAACTTATAAATAATATAAATTTATTTCTCATATTTCAGGAAGCTAGGAAGTCCCAGATCAAGTCACCAGCACATTCAGAGTGGGCGAAGGCCAAGTATGCTTGATCATCCATGACTACTTTGTGAAGTAGAAACTATCCTGAGTTTGGGCAAGAAAATTTCTGCAGAACACCCTAAAAATACTCCACTTAACGTTTTTCCCAAAGTACAGAGGTACTTTTTGCTATGAGTGAGCATACATATTAGATCATAAATATTCAGTTTCAAGTGTTCTGATAGCTTTAGCTTCCACTCTAATCTTGCTTGAAAAGATCAGTTTATAAAAGACAAATGCCACACCTTCTTATACCTCAACACCCCCGTAGCATAAGTAGATCTGTTCATATGATAGGACCATCTTCATTGGAAAATTTATAGACTTCTCTTGCTCTAAATTCACTGACAAAGTGCAACTCCAGTGAGGTTTTAAAGGAATTTTTTGCTAATATTTTTAAATCACTCAAAACACATTTTTGGTGCCCAATTAAGAATACCACATAACAAACTACTTATATCCACAATAAAACTGAACTAATAAACCAAACACATTTCTTTACCTTTTGTAGCTTTGACCTAATTATCCTAATTATTCTTTTGCCTCAGCTGATAATCTCAAAATTCAGTAATGAATCAGTCAAGTATGAAAAATCAGTGAACTGTATGTGTATGTTTGTGTATCCATGGAATTATGTATATAAAATTACTCATCATCATTTAATGCTGAATTTAGGCATTGCATGTTGATCTCCCTGATTATGAAAAAAAATCAACGTGTTAGTAATTCTGGAAGAAAAATATGCAACCTTTGGATGTAGAAATCGAAATAGGAGTAATAAAAATTTGAGCAGAAACATGCGGATCCTCAATGTTAAGAGAGTGGACAATTAAGCATTCTGTGCTAATGGAGCATGTGTTTTTATATTAGTATCACCAGCATTTTTAATAAAGTGCATATGTAATCTGGTGTTTCTGATATAAATAAGTCCATAGGAATCTCTTGCATTTCCAAATGAGGCCTCAGAGCTGTGTAGCAGCCTTCATGACAGGATGAAGTAAATGAGTCACCTACCTGACCAGGTCAATGACCCGCTCCCTGGGTGCAGCACTGACTGGCTCATCATTAATCATTACAATCTGATCTCCTGGGATCAGTTTGCCTTCTGAGGGGCCACCTGAAAACACACAAGAGTAAAGTCCAGTTGAGAAGAACATTGGCAAGCCATCCAAAATCCCCTCTATCCATTATGATTCACTGTGAGCAGGTGGCGACATCAGCCAAGACAAAACCCAATCACACCTGGGTGTTCTTTGGATAAGTCTGAGATCATAAGCTACATCCTGACCAATTAAATCAGAAACTTTTGCAGTGAGACTCATGCATCCACATTTTCTAAAAACTTCATGGGCCAGATGGAGACTTAGGTTCCCAGCACTTCGCACACTTTAATATGCTTATGAATGACTTGTGGATCATGTTACCGTACAAGGGTGCAGGATGAGATCATGCATTTCTCCCAGGTTCTCAGCAGCTGTTAATGCTGCTGGTCAAAAGGCTTATGAGTATCAAGGTTTTTAGAAGAAGGTAGTTTCCCAACAGGTAGCCAAATAGCTGTGTTGCCTGCAGCCAAAGCTGCCAACAACCTGGGCACAACTGGATTTAAACAACATTGTATTTATTTGCTCATTTTGAGTAGGGAGATAGCACTTTGTGGGAAATCACAAGGCATCTCAATCATAGGGTGTTAGAAAGGACTTATTAGAAGATTTGACTTTGTGTTAGGTGCTGTTGGGGCAGGTTCAAGGAAGTGGGGTGCTGTCCTTGGATCAGCAGCTAATGGAAAGCAGAAGTGATTCTGTGATGAACATCTTAATAATTGCCTGCCAGGTAAGATGAAGGAAGCAGAACTAGGTTATGATTGATTAACAACAGTCATTCATATCAGCTGACAGAGGGTCATAGTTGGTCATGCTTGTGGTTTGGACTGTGCTTGGATGTTTGTGTCTGTACTCACATATCAGTACAAGGAGTCTTGTTTTTGTCTTGGTTCATCAGAGCCAGAATGGCCCTGTCTGGTGATATTTGGTGACACTGTTCATGTTCAACAGAATAAGCCAGGCCCAGCTATGAGGGCCTCTGAGAGCTTCTGGAAGTCAGAGGCTGTTTTTCTTTCAGTTAGGTTTCCAATGAGGGAGTAGGAAATTAATGTGGGTTGATTTGTTGTGTAGCTGGCAATGAGCTGTTTTGCCTGATACCTCACTGAATATTATGATTTCTTCCATACAGTGAGACAACCGAGTTTCACATATGTAGAAAAAAACGGCATGAAGGTAGGACTGGATCTCAGTTTGCGTCTGTAGAATTCTGTCAAAATGGTCAATGTCACTTTTGAACTTGTCCTCACAATTCAAAACCTGGTAACTGCCATGTCTCTTAACAGGCAAATTAAAAGCCACATCTGTGTGAAGCACAATCTGTATTTAAATAAAAACCCAAAACAATTATTTGGATTATTCTCACATGTCTAGATAGATGCAATTACCTTCCAAATATTGATATAGTACTATGTGGCACTATTATTTGAATTCTCTTTACAAAAGTCTGGCACTGGGTGACAGGGAGCCGAAATGTTATCTTTCAAATAATATCACCATTACTTTGTTCAGTAATTGAAATGAACACTTCATGCCCAGAACAAAGAACTGAAGCCATTCAGTTGTTCTCTACCCACACAGGCACTTGACATATGTGTTACTCAAACTGTACTATAAATTTGTCTTTCTGGGGAGTAAGAAAGTAGAGAAACCTTAATATGTACCCATATCAGTGATAGAAAATATTCATTTCACAGATCTGGGAATTGAGTTCCAGTATTTGCAAACATATGGAATCTAGAGAAATCACTTGACAAACTTATTGTAACTATTGGACTGTGTGCAAACAGTCACACTAATTCAGTAAAAAAAAATGGGTAGAAATCAAATGCAGATAAAATACAGAAAAGTTTTCAAAATAACTGGTGGTCAAAAGGATGTTTGAAGGATGGATATTAATTAGTCTTATGAGAAAACATTCATCAATAGGACATAATCTTACATTTGACCCATACATATTGAACCAATAGAAATATTCTTATTTAATCAAGCAACTTGAATCAAGAATTCTGGTGAAATAACACACAGTCCTTTCCAATATATAAAACAGTGGCACTCTTCAGATAATTGTCTCATCCTTTTTACTCTGAAGACTGGGCTTTCAGGTATAGAAATTCTGGTCACTGCACAGAAAACACTTGGGACTGTAGTAGAGCCATTTTTGTGATAGGCAGAGCTTATTTGACCAACATTTTCACTCATACAAATGACTGGAAGTAGTATTCTTTGACCTCAGTTTTCACTTTTTTTCTACTCTTTTCAAAACTGTCTAATAGTTGACGTTAGTGAAGGTAAGGAGAGTTGAGGGAAAGGGAGAGAAGAGGTTGAGGGAAAAGTGAGACAATACAAAAAAAGTGAAAAACAAAATTATAATCTCCACAGCTCCTGGGAGGACTCAAACTTCAGAGAATCTCATTACCAACAATGTTAAACTATCTCAATAGTATAAAATTGCATGTCAAATACGAGCCCTCTTAGAAAAAACTATGTGTGCACATATACATACACACACATGTTAAATATATAATGGATAATATATTTGTGTTTTTGTGTTTACAGAATTATGCCTATTATACATATTCTCTATGTCTATGTGAATAGCAGTTATGTCTTGGTAGCAGGAATTGACATTTTTTTACTCTCACTTATATACTATTTACATTGTTTTTCTTTTTTTTTTACAAAGCCCATATATTATTTTATTATAATAAAAAGCAATAAATCTACTTTAAGAATAAAATTCTCAGTTTATCAAGCTCAAGTGTTAAGCAATACTTAACAGCACAAGTCAGAAGGGGTTGATTGTATTTGTGGTGCATGCCTGGGGAATATTATGTCAAAATATTAAAAAGTTAAAATTTAATCAAATTCTAAAATCTATACCAGCTCGCTAGTTGACTTGAGTTTCTCATAATTGACAGACTCAACTGGCCAAATAGTTGAGAGTTCAGTAATAATAATGATGATGATGATAATGATAATAATAACAATAATAATAATAATACAGTTATGGAATAAGTATGTCCTTAGCACTCTTCTAACTTATTGCATCCTCTCTATAGCTCTGTAAGTTACATACTACTGTGGTCCCCATAATACAGATGATATAGAGAAGTTACATCAAACTGAAAAGCAGGGAATTACCATGGAAGATAAAAAGTCTAATAAGGGGTAGAGGCCAGAGTCAAACTTGGGCAATTTAATATCAGAATCTGTACACATAAGTGTACTTTACTATTGAATTCTGTTACAATTTGCAAAATTCTGGAGAACAATGACAGAGAATTTTCTTTTGTCTGAAAATAAAACCCAATTTAAGTCCATTACAATAAGTACATAAATATATATAATAAGTGAATGAAAGCACATTGTTCCTAGAAAGGCAAAGTCAGCCCACTTTAGGCAATTACATCACAGTCTGTTGTATTCAACTGGGTTGGTAGTGGAACATCTGTATACTCTAATATGAATGATTGAGATAAATCTAATAATTATCATATAGAATTTGAGAGATTTGTATTAGTCAGCATCTTCTGTATAACAAAGCACTCCAAAACTCAGTAGGTGTCCAATAATCATTTCTTCTCATGCTTGTGGGACTTTAGGATACCCATAGACTGGCTGATTTAGGCCAGGGTCAGCTGAGAAGTTCTGCTTCAAAGTGAAAATCAGGCTATACTTAGCTCCAGGCTGCAGTCTTGTTGGGTGCCAGCCTCAGTGTTCATTTTGGGGATCAGGCTGAAGGGACAGATGCCACTTGAGGAAGACTCTTCTAATGGCCATAGAAGATGCCCAAGAAACAAGTTACACAGAATGAGCAAATCTCAAGCCTTTGCTTATGTCACCTTCCTAATGTCATTGGCCAAAGTCAGTCCCTTGGTCCAGCCCAACAGCAATGGGATAGAATATATTCTGCTTCCAATGAGAAGGGAGAGGAGTACATTTTTGTAAAGTAATTGAACTACCCCCAAAACTTAGTTGTACTACAACTCAAACACTACTTTCTGCTTTTTTTTTTTCATTAAAGAATTCATCAGTACAAAGCCTACTTCTTATTGTTTACATTTACATGTTAAGAAGTGCATCATTTCCATAGTTACAAATGATGGATCAGTATTTTTCCTGAATCAAATGATTTGATGGATTTGACAGTTTAAAACTTAGTTTGAGAGACATTTTTGACCTTTTGGTACTCTGCAGGTATTGGGAAAACCCATCTAGCATCACAGCCTGGACACAGGAAACTTGAACAGCAGTCATCCTAGCAATGTGTGGCAGATAGTTCTAGGAGAAGGAGTGGGGTTGCATCCTTACCTGGTGTTACTGAGCGAACGACCACTGGTTTTTCACTCCCTGCCACAAAACCAAAACCCAGCACAGGGTCTCTCCTCATCTCCACCTTCCGGGGAGCTGGAGGGATGATTTGGCAGCTTTCTAACCGAGGGTCGTCAAATGGAATTGCTTGTGTCATGTGACTGTAGAAAAAAGAACATACAAGAGAAAGGAGGCATCAATGTATATATTTGGCATTGGTCTTGCAATCACATGCTTTCTTTTTTTTGTATTTTATTTATTTTTTTATTAGTTGCTCATGACAATACAATGATCTTGACATATCATACATTTGAATCAAATGGGTAAAATTTCTCATTTTTCCAAGTGTACAGGTTGCAGAATCACATTGGTTATATGGCCACGTATATACATACAACAATACTAATGTCTATTTTATTCTGTGACTCAAAATAGGGTAGGGAGGAAGAGCATGAGAAGATGATTACCACTAAATAGGGAAGAGAGGTGGGAGGGAATGGGAGGGAGAAGGGGAATTGCATGGAAGATAGAAGGAGACCCTCATAGTTATACAAAATACATGTACGATGATGTGAGGGGGAAGGAAAAAAAGAAAAAAAAAGAAAGTAGTGTGTCACATTAGATTGGGTAGAGAGAGGTGATGGGAGGGGAGGGGAGGGGAAGGGGGAATAGGAAGGGCAGCAGAACAATCACATGCTTTCTAGTTTTAAAACCTATTCTGGTACAGAGTGTAAAAGATCCAGAGAGACCCATACTCATGTCTCTTTCAAGACTCCTTGTTGTTCCTTGAAAACCCTTAGCTCATTTCTGCTTTAGGCCTTCACAAGGACTGTTCCCCCCAAACTGGAATGCTTGTTCTGCAGATGTCTATATGGCTCATCCTCAATTCTTTCAATCCTTTGCTTACATACATAGCACCTTCTTACAGAGGACTCTGCTGTATAATATTTTTTAATGGCCACCCTGCTCCCCCAATCCCATTTACCCTCTTCTAGTTTTCCCCCACAGCACTAATTATCTGTGAATGTGCTGTGGAATATATTCATTTTTTATTATACCTTCATTTTATTTATTTATTTTTATGTGGTGCTGAGGATGAAACCCAGGGCCTTGCACATGCTAGGTGAAGCACTCTACCACTTAGCCACAACCCCAGCCCAAACATTTATTTTTATGTTTATCTTTATTGTTTTGCTCTCCACACTAGAATGGAAATCCCAGGAGGGCAATGACCTTAGTTTTTTAACATTTTTTTTTAAGACCTTTATTTTATTCATTTATACGCAGTGCTGAGAATCGAACCCAAGGCCTCACACGTGTTAGGCAAGTGCTCTAACACTGAGCCACAATCCCAGCCCAAGGAACTTAGTTTTATTCACTGGGTTCTCTCAGGTACCTAGAAGACCTGGTACATAGTAGATTCTCAATAAATAATTGAATTAATACATACAGAGAAGCATATTTCTCTGTGGAAAATTATCAAGTTATAGCAGATCTGAGAAACTGCCTCACAGGACTATGGACATTTAGCAGGTAACATGTATGGCTCTGGCCTCAGTGAAATTGAAGTAATGTAGATTATTGTGGTGGTGACAAGTCATCCTGGTGCCAAATACTTTCCCCCATTGAAAGGAGTTGCAAATTTAGCTTTTGGAATTTACTCTCTGGGAAGATTTTTGAGTGTTTTAGATGAGTCATTTCATTAACATCTCAATTTCTGAAGTCTTATCAATAATCCACAATTGAAATTTGTATAGTATTCAAAAATTTTCAAAATGCTTTTGATTCACGAAATAACCTTGAGAACAAGGGAGCAGAGCAGGCTTTTTTATCTGCATTTTTCCCATAAGAAAACTGAGATCAAAATCACAGCTTATTGTTGTTCTGGGGCCATGGCTGATATGGCAGAGTGTCAGGTCAAAGACCAACCGCCAAGACTTCTAATGAAGTCTTCATCACGAACATTGTCCAAGGAAGCCTTCTTTGGGGGGAAGATTTATTAATTTGAACACTAGAAATCTGCTTAGAGTAATGTAAGCTGAGATTATTTCAATGACATGGGCTTAATTCAATTTTTTCTCTCTAATCTTCAATAAGTAAAAGAAGATCATTTTAAAATACCACGGATGATGCTATTCTATATGCCATCTGGACAACATATTGTTCAAATGTAATAAAGAAAGACAGGGAAAGAGGAATCCTGTTGTCCTTCTGTGTAATTAATAAGAGTTAAGTAAGATCAATGAAAGCCCTCTAGGAACTGTCCTTTGGGTATATATCACTGTCAAGAAAAATAAAAGTTTATAATCCCTTTTAAACAGAGAGAAAATATCATTTCAATTAGCTGATTGTGATCTAGAACACTAGATAAAACAGGACTAGCTGGTTGTATGCCCTGTGCTACCATGCATTTGTTACCTTAATTCATCCTTAAAAACTCTCCTATGATGGAACTATTCAACCCGACCCACCCCTCTGAAAATACTAAGAGAAGAAAATAACTGAACTGAGGTCAGTTCTTCTCAGGTGAAAGTCAGGTTTGATTCACGCTAGGTCTTCATATTTTAAGTGTCTGCACAAGGCCAGCTCCATAATTTGCAGGGATGGTGCAAAATGAAAAGCTGGGCCCTCCCTCTTTTCATTTCCTGATTAAGAATTTCAAGAGGCCCAACATGGTGGCTCAAGTCTGTAATCTCAGAGACTCCAGAGGCTGAAGCAGAAGGATTGCAAGTTTGAGGTCAACCTCATTACGTTAGTGAGACCCTTGGCCAATTAGCAAGACCCTGTCTCAACATTAAAAAAAAAATCAAAATAAAAAAGATTGGGGATATAGCTCGGTGGTAAAGTGCCAGGGATCAATTCCTAATAATCCCCCCCCTAACTCACAAAAAAATCATTAAATCTAGCTCAAGGTCCTGTGTGACTACACTGGTCAAATGCCCATGAATCTGTCCCTGGTAGCATGCCATCCTCAATGTCCTATCATGATTCTAGAAAAGTCTTGGCTCAGAGTGGAAGTTTTAGAGTCAAAGGGGAGAAGCTGTTTAGTATGAAATTGCAGGTATTTGTCTGGATCAAGAGATTGAACATGGCTCCTAAGTGGGGCCCATGCTTGTGGCAGGTGAAAGGAAGTGGGAGAAGATCTCGTGAAGAGGCCTGGTGGTCAGGGGGAAGAATTCAGTCCCTGAGGAAGGAAGCAAAACCAATACAGAATGAGTCTCAGTGACCAGGGCAGGAGCTTCAGACAGGGCCCCCTGCAGGGAGGAACTGAAACCCAGGGAAAAGTTAGGGACCAGGACACAAGAAAGACCTCTGATTCTCCTACATTGGGCCTCATTAGACAGAAACTTGACCTCATGACATTGAGCCATCCCAGACCTGAAACAGTTATGGGTGGCTGCATCTGGAGGAGAGTGGGGCCACCTAAGCATGATGGACATGTCAGATTCTCTTGTCTCCTGTGAAAGAAAGCACCATCTCAGAGCATACCATTCTAGTGACACATCTGAAAACAATCCTCTCCTTTTATCCCTATATGGAACAAAGGAAAGAAGGAAAAAAGGGAAAAAAGTAGGGAGTGAAGAAGAAAGGAAGGAGGATCCACATTTTTGGATCCTGGCCCTGAGTTCTGAGTTTTCACCATAATCCACTCAAGAAACTGGTAAAGGTCTTTGCAGCTAAGGAATTTGCTAATGGTCACATGTGCCATGGGACAAAAGAAGGCTTAATTCTCACTTCCAAGCACAAAAAGGGACTAAAGAAGTCTCTCCTCCTGCTTCTGCCAGATCTATGACAAGCTTACAGCAGCATTTCCCTAACTTTGCTGCATATTGGAATCACCTGGGGAGCAATAAAACATCCTAATGCCTGGGGTACACCATATCAGAATATATGGGCAAGGCCAGGGAGAGGACTAGGATCAATGTTTCACAGATCTCCAGGTAATTTCAAAGTGCAGCAAGGTTTGAGGACTACTCACCTTCCCAGCAAAGTGTGGGTTATAGTGCATCTTCTAGATGACAGAAAAAGAAGGTACAAATAATTTCCCCTGATTACCTCCTGGAGCCAATGTAAATTAAAGTATTAAAAACATCTGTAGCTTGATTATCCTCTTTCTACTACCCAATAAATAGTATCTAATATTTTAATGCAGCATTCATTAAATAACTATTACATTAGTATAATATAATAATAAAACATGACATTATTAACCATTAATTTCATGCTAAGCATTGTTTGTTCTAAATGCTTGCCATATGCTAGTTTGCTTAATCCTCCAAACTGACTCCATAATACACCCCTTTATTCATTTAGTCAATTTATTAAATGCACACTGAGTTTTCTGTTCTGGGAATACAAGAGGAAAGAAAGCAGACAAAAACTAAAACACCCACTCTAATATTCAGAGACAGAGAATAAACTGATTAATTAGTAAAATATGTGGTATATCAAGTCATTATAAGTACTAAGGAGAAAATTAGCACAGGGAGGAAGGATAGACAGCTGCTGAGGGAGGGGGCTACCATGTTGTATCAGGAGCTGGGGGAGGAGCCCTTACAACAGAGGGGCAACAAATTGCAAAGGTCCTAAGGACCAACATGCTGGTGAGAGCATGCCTCACAACAGCCAACATACTCATGGGTCCATTCTTGCTGAGAATGGGTAGTGCAGGAAGAAGATTCCAGAGTAGTAGAAATTAGTATGGGGTGGGGTACAGTTTGGAGGCAGTGAGGAGAGTAGTAAAGAAGTGACAAAGGAAACACACAGGTCACACAGGCTCCTGGAAGGATTTGGTGTTTTGTTCTAAAACAGGAAACCATTGGAAAGTTCTGGATGGAAGTAATAGAATCTAACTGCTAGGCTGAGAACAGAAAAGAGGGGGCACTGATAGGAACAAGGAGAGCATTTTGAGGCCCACTGCATCAATCCTGACAAAAGATCATGATGGGTTGGACAAGGTTGAGAAAGACAGGGGTGGCATAAATTTTTGGGCTCTGAATAGATTTGGAGGCCATTGTGGTAGAGCAGGTTGGGATTCCTACGCTGGAACCTTTTTACTGAACACACCTGTTCTCAGTGAGGATAGACTTGTGAGTATGTTGGCTGACCTATCTGCAGTAATCTACAGGAGACATTTTCTTTTCTGGGAGGCAGCACTTTC